CCTGTGCAGCCCCACCCCCACCCCCGTGGTGCCGGCTCGATTCCTGTCGCGGGTCTGTTGGTCACCTTGTGGATGTCTGCGCATGCTCCAGGGACAAGATCGGGCCAGTTCTTCGGAAAACATCAAGGAAGTACGTTGAGAGCTGGGTGGGTTCTTTCATTATTGCATGTTCCAAGATAATGGGTTTTGTGTCATTAAAGCACATGTTTTTAGTTCAGGGTCCTTTGCCTAGGGGCTCAGTCCCTTTTTCCCTTCCCTATCTCACCGTTTTTATAAAAGATTAGGTCCCATAGTTTTCTCCCAGGAATTTTATGGTTCTCAACCATTTTGAGTTAGTTTTTGTGTATGGTGTGAGGTATAAGTCCTGTTTCATTTTTCTGCAGGCGGATATCCAGTTTTGCCAGCACCATTTATTAGACTTTTTCTGCCCCACTTACTACTCAAGCTCTGACATACGGAATTGTAGCATATCAAGGACCTTAGAACCTACTTGAAAAGACAAACTGACATCAATCATCAATCCGTGAATCTGGTCAGAGGTTCAGAGGCCAGGATTAGCATTGTATGTTGCAATTATTATGGGATATATGTGTAAACAGAATGAGGCCATATTATGGAGAACCCATCAGAAAAATTTAGTGTAAATGTGAGAAGTAATAGGTAATCAAATATAGATGACATAATGGTGCATTTTAGAAAGATTACTCTGACAACATTCTGTAGCATTGTAGTCTCCATATGGGATATATAAATAGGCTTTTAGTCACTGTAAAGAATAAAAATGTAAAATGAGGCCCTACTCTTGAATAGCTTAAAATCTAAGAATAACATAAAAAACAATTTTAGGAAGACCAGAATAACAAAAACAATTCAGAACAATTCATGCTTTGGATAAATGTTATTTGCCAGGTATGACAAATACACCACTTACCAGTGCAGTGACCCATGCTCATAACAGACATTCATAATTGATCATGGAAGTCTTTGCTTAAAGAACCTAGAATGTAGTACTGAATATGTAGTATGAGTTAATAAAACAACTCTCTGGGCAGCCGTTACTGCCATTTGTAGACTGAGTCCTGCCTCATTAACTGCCGCTAATCCCACCTTATTAACATCATAGAGGTAGGATTTACAACAGTCAATGTCCATGGAAGCAATGAACATAGGTCAGTTCTACTGCAAAAGACCTCTTTAAAGTTTTAAAAAGCAAAGGTATCACTTTGATGACTAAGGTGTGTCTGACCCAAGCCATGGTCTTTCAGTTACCTCATATGCATGTGAAAGCAGGACAATGAAAAAGGAAGACAGAAGAATTGACTTATTTGAATTGTAGAGTTGGCAAAGAATATTGAATACACCGTGGACTGCCAAAAGAAGGAATACATCAGTTTTAGAAGAAATACAACCAGAATGCTCATTAGAAGTGAGGATGGTGAGACTTCAGCTTGCTTACATTGGAAGTGTTATCAGGAAAGACAAGTCACTAGAAAAGGACATCATGGCTGGTAAAGTCGGTGAAAACGAGGGAAAGCATCAATGAGATGGATTAACACAACAGCCACCACAATGGACTCAAACATAACAACAATCATGAAGATGGTGCAGGATCAGGCAATGTGTTGTGTTATATGTCAGGTCACCGTGAGTTGAAGCTGGCTCCATGCCAACTAACAACAAGACTATTTAGTTCAGGGAAGTGCTAATCAAAGTTTCATTGAAAAGTTGGGCCTTGAATAATGGGTAGAATCTCTCTAACCTTATTTTCTTTTGCTCTCTGACATGAACCTCGTGGCTTGGGACCTTAATGCCCTCCACATATATCATTATCATACCTCGTTGTGTTTATGCTGATCCTCCTCCCAATCTGGAATACTGCCTTCACCTTCCAGGCTATCCCATTTCATAATCCTTCAGGTTGGATCCAAAACCTCATTCTTCCATGATATAGAATCTTTTCTCTGAATTCTGATAACAGATAATCCCTACCACCCATAGTCAGCCCCTTTTTATTGTCTGATTCTGTATTTGGTATATTTGTCTGGATTCCACATCTATTTCCCACAGTAAATACTAGTTGGTTGATTGTAGGTGAAATTTACGTCATTTAGCAGGAATGGCTTAAATGTGTAAAACAAACTGAAGAATGGGCTGGAGACTGGTGAGGTCTAGTTAGTTTAAAATGAGGTGGTATGTTCCACTTTTTCAGCACTTGGTTTCAATTCTGATCATTTCTTTGTTTAATTCCTTTAATTCCCACATTTAGATTATGCTGAGATCATTTTCCTCAATTTTAGTTCCAAATCAGAATTTTAGACTTTAATGTTCATCCTGCTTTTTTCAACAATAAACTCTCGCCTAAAAGACAAGTACTACTTAAGGTGTTGGATTTATTTTCGTTAAGAAGAACTATTTTACAAAAGAGAAGAAGGTGTAAAATATTAATGTATATAACCGTCTTAGAATTATGGAATTTGGGAGCCAAGTTAGCACTTATTTTTCCCTCAGGCAATAACAGTTAATAAGTCTACAGATCTCGATTTAGATCATCTGGCTATAAAATGACAAAAGTAGGGAAACGTTTAAATTCGTATTCCAGGGTACTCTCCTCTCATCTTCAGCCCGGCCAAGTTTCTGGCAGGAACAGAAGCCTTAATGCAGGCAGAGTTGTTTTGATGAGGAGCGTTATCTGAAAAGTATTTTTGTAGGAGCAATGTAGAGATATTACCGGGAATCTAAAGTAAGAGACTTCTCCACATTTGTGAGTTCCGTTTTAATTTCTCTTGAAAATCTTGATGTCGGAGGGGGCAACCGCCTTGGCGTGAGGAGGGGCACCCAGCCCTGCCCATCACGGGAACCGTCCGGGGTCTGTGTGCCCCTATCCCCGCCTACCCATCAGTTCTGACCACGCATGCGCGGAGCCGCTGGCCCGGAGAGTTGTCGGCTGGGAAATGGCTGCCGCGGGCTTGGCCGCTGTGGCCACGGCTGCCGAGTACCCTGGCCAAGAAGCGTCCGGAGGTAACTTGTCTGGCGTTAATTGCGGCCCAAGCTCCGGGGCGGGCCCTGGTCCTGGCCCAGGCTCATGGAGCCGTTCCCTCGATCGAGCCCTGGAAGAGGCGGCAGTAACCGGGGTGTTGAGCCTGAACGGCCGGAAACTGAGGGAGTTTCCCCGAGGAGCGGCCAACCACGACCTGACGGACACCACCCGAGCGGGTGAGCGGGACCGGGGCATCCCAGCCGGCGGGAGACCATGGCGCCGCGGGAGGCCGCCCCTGCCGATGGTGGAGGAATCGGGGATAGTACAGCAGCTGATCCTATAGGCTCCCGGGCCAGACCAGGGTAGCGGGGAGAAGCCAATTGCCCCAACCCACCCAGCTCTCCGGGCCTGCGGGCCAAAACCCGAGTCTGGGCGAGGCGAGGGTGCATCTCTTGGGGAAGGGAACTGGCAGGGATTGATGGGTGGTTTTTTTACTGTCTCCTGGAACGTTAGTTTCTGCCACTTCAGAGGTAAACCCTTGCCCCGCCCAGATTTCTGCAGGCCCTTTAGAATTTGGGGTGCCAAGTTGATTTTCTAAGATTTGGGAATATAGCGCACTGTTAATAGGTCGAGTAGCAGAGATCTCTGATCACTGCATTGTCAGGAAAACATCGATCTCAGCACTGGAGTTTTTTCGAAAGAGTTTTTTTTTTTTTTTTTTTTTAAATGCGAACTCCGAATGTTGTAAACTTTTGTTTCTCCGCCTTCATCTAGTTGACTTTACTAAATGTACTTGTAAAAATAACTAGAGCCTACCTTCAGACACCCATTACTTTCCATTTAGTAAATAATAACCTCCTCCACTCTACATGGATTGCCTACCATATCTATATTCGCTTTTCCCTTTTAAGCCCTTACTTGTTGGCTTTATACTTTTTTTTTGGAACACAAGGAGACTAAGGAATTAGGTATTATTTGATTTTCTTACTTGTAGGGAATAATATCTGTTGACTAAGGTATTCAGCATAATATTTTTCTCTCATGTTTAAAATATAGCTTCCTCAGAGAATAGATTAAAAACTGTTCAAGATTTACAGAAATACAAGGAGGAAACAAACAAAAAATCCCCTATACAGGTTTTATAGTCTCATATCGTTAAATATTTTACTTTCATATGATGTTCTTACAACCAAAGAATGTGCAGTATTTTGTCTTATGTGTATTCATTTTTATTTATTTATTTTAAAAGCTTAAATTTCACACCTTTCCTGTTTGTGTACTCATTAAAGATTGATAAGTATTACATATGGTTCACTCACATTAGAAAAATAAACAGAACTGTTCAACTAATTCCAGAAACTTTTGGTCTGGTGTAAAATGGAAAAAATTAAATGCCTCCTTATTTCATCTCTTTTTGGAAGCAGTTGTCCTAAACATAATTTGTATTTTTTTAGTGAATGATACTAAAGTTATATTTTGTTACTTAGGTAAATATGAACAGCCACTTGTCTTTTACATGTGTTCTCACAGATAACACCTAAAATTGCCATTCATACCCACAATTTCCTGATTCTGTTCAGGAGAAGGGCTATATGGCATAGTGATTTCATATTGGTGTGAGTCATTTCAGTATTATTACATTAAGCCTGAAGCTAAAAAGAACAAGTTGATTACAGGAGTTTATCTAGCTCATTATCTTTACCTGCTTTTTTAGCAGCAGTATATTGAGCCTTTAAGAAATATTTTATTAACTAATGAAGAAAACCCAAGGGCATTTATGAAGAATAAATAATCTCAGTGAAGTTTTCCCTAACTGTACTTTGAATTTTTAAGTATATTATTATCCATGCTGATTTTATTACTTTAATAGTTTCTGTATAAACCAATTTTTTTGTTAATTGACACTTTGTCAGGTTAAGAAGTATAAAAAAGATTACAAGATATTTTGTGACCTGTTAGATGAATTTTTAACATGTAGAAATATCATTTATTAAGTATAAGAAATCTTTGGCAGACCTTGGTAATTAGTACAAAAAGAAGTCTGAATTATTTTAAACAGATAGTGTAGTGCTGATAACATCATTTATTGAGTGTTGACTACTGTTTATTTTGTTAGGTGGTTTAAAATACATTGTTTTGTTTAATGATCATAGCAACCTATGGATTAAATATTACTATTACTACCCCCACTTTACAGATTAGGAATCACTGAAAGAAAGTCACGTAGCTAGTATTAATGGTAGAATTTCAGCCCAGGTCCATCTAACTCTGTTTTCTCCGCTATACTATGCAGTCTCCCTTTGTACAGATATGTATCACTATTCCTGTTTTTATGGATAGCAAAACCAAGGTTTAGAGAGATTAAGTAATTTGCTTAAAGATCTGTCGCCAAAGGGCAAGGGATGGGGTATTAGCCAAGATTGGCGCTAACTCCAAAATCTATAGTCGTCTTTTTATACCGCGTGCTTTTATGAGTTCAGACCCAATTTATGTTAGTAAAAATATTGAATGTATATGGTAGAGTTTCTCCTTCAAGAGTTTACACTCTAGGAAACCACATATCACCCATACAGTTTGTAATTGGACATGATTAGAGTTCATCAGGAACATTTTCTTGAGGCTTTGTCCTCCTAATTGTTTAAAAAACCCATTGCTGTCCAGTTGATTCTGACTCATAGTGACCCTTTAGGACAGAGTAAAACTGCCCCATAGGGTTTCCAAGGCTGTAATCTTCATGGGAGCAGATCACCAGATCTTTCTCCTACAGAGTGGCTGGTGGGTTTGAACCACCGATCTTTCTGTTAGCAGCTGAGCACTTCAGCCACTGCTCCACCAGAGCTCCTTATTTGTTTAAAAAGGTAGCTAGGAAAAGTAAAATAATTATGTAGAGAAATGGGTGACTTGATCCAGGTTAATTCACTAGGCTGCTAACTGAAAGGTTGGAGGTTCTGGTCTACCCAGAGGCACCTTGGAAGGAAGGCTTGGTTGATCTATTTCTAAACAGTAAGCCATTGAAAACCTTATGGAGCACAATTTTATGCTGACACGCATTGGGTTACCATGGTTGGAGTTGACTTGATGACAACTAGTTTTGAACTTGATTGAGAGGACAGTGAAAATCTTAGAAGAAATTACAGAAGACTTCTTGGAGGAAAAAGGATGTAACTTGGATTTAGGTAAGCCAAAACCAGAAGTAAAGGGATGCTAGGATGTGGTGGACAGCATTGAAAACGTCTTATAGTATAGGGGACATCAGTTAATTTTGCCAGTCCATCATCCATTCCCCTTTCTTCTGATAACAGTACCTTGAATTTTCTAGGGAACCTGAATTTTCCTAGGGAACTGTCCCTCTCAATCAGTTACATGGATCCTATCCTGACACACGGATGCATACGTATGATTCCAGACCAAAACCGAACCCACTGCTGTCGAGTCAGTTCCTGCTCATAGTGACCCTAGAGGACATAGTACAACTGCCCCATAGGGTTTCCAAGGCTGTAAATCTTCACGGAAGCAGACTGCTACATCTTTCTTCAGTGGAGCAGCTTGTGAGTTCAAACTGCTGACCTTTTGGTTTGTGGATGGGCGCTTTAACCACTGCGCCACCAGGGCTCTCTGCCCAAGACACAGTCCTAGCTAATGGCCAATCAGTGTAGTCCCTCCCTCTGACTATAGTGATTGTTTCAGAGATAGTCACATTTTCTAATCAGCGTACCTGAGTGTTAATTCTGCATTTTTGTTGGAACTACCGAGAAGGGGCGAACTGTGAACACTAGAGTTGCTGAGAGAATAGAATGAGAGCCTGGAGCTGCTGGTAGATAGCTTGCTGGTAAATGGAAAGCAGAGCGAAAACATGGAAAGAATGCGGCCAATTCTGATGACAGTGTTTGAGCCCCAAACCAGTTGCTGTCGAGTTGACTCTGCTCAGCCCTAGTTGTGTCAGAGTAGAGCTGTGCTCCATAGGGTTTTCAATGGCTGTGATCTTTTGGAACTAGATTGCCAGGCCTTTGTTCTGAGGCACCTCTGGGTGGATTTGAACCACCAACTGTTTTGTTAGAAGCCAGTATGTTACCATTCGTTCCTATAGTTAATGCTATTCCTGGACTTGTCAAATTATGTGAGCCAATAAATTCCTTTTTCTGCTTTGTTTGAATAGAATTTTTTGATACAAAAATAAGAGTCCTGTCTAATACAGTGAGACTGCTCTTGATGTTGTGGTGGGCCAGTTTGGTCAGAATAAGTGATTGGTTTAGAGAATATACGAGCTGCCTTTAACATAAAAGGAAGCTAGATTGATGATTGGTTTAGAGACATGGAGACTGGTCAACATTTGCTCATTCAACAAACATTTATTGACTAAGGGACTTTGGCAAAGAGGGTGAAGATACTTCCTGCCCTCAAAGAACTCAAGGAGTCTAGTGGTGCAATAAATAGATAGGGGTAAAGATTAGTTTAATTGTCATAATAGCAAAAATTTTTTTGTAATGTAGGGGAAACAAAAATAAGAGACCGTACCATGTAAGTATTTAAAATCTAGCAATCTGGTTGGATGGCTGTGGTAATAATCCATGAGGGAATGAAAACCTGGAAAACAGATCATACTAGAAAGTGAAGATAATGTACAGCTGCTGATTGAATTCATTCAGAAAACACAGGATGAGTAAAAGATGACTGAGCAGTTAAACTTGCAAGACTGGGAAACTGGTAATGCTACTGATAATAATAGTAGCCAACATGTATTGAGCTCTTAGCATATTCCAGGTATTGTGCTAAGTTGTGAATGTATACGAAACATACACATGTAACACCCATATGAGTTGTAAGTAACTATTTTTGACCCCGTTTTGCAGATGAGAGAATTGAGACTCAAGAGATTAAGTAATTGGTCAAGGTCACATGACTAATAAGTGACAGAACTGGGATTCAAATTGAGAGACATCTGATCCTAAAACTTGTGTTTTTGATCGCTAAGCTATACTGACAAAGAAGTTTGGCTTATATAATTTCTTTGGTCTGCCTGATTCCTTTAAGGGGCTGGTAGAACATCTAGTTAATCATGTGCAGCAAATAGAAATGTAAATCTAAAGTTTTAGAGGGAAGTTAGCATAAATTTAAGCATAAATTTAAGAGAGTCATAATGAGAGTTTATGAGGTTCTTGAGAAAGAGCATGGAGAGTGGAAAAGCTGGTCACTGACAACTATGGGGCACACCAACATTTTAAAAGGCAGGAAGAGG